AGTTGTTAATCGTATGTATGCAAAAATGTTTCTACATATCTCTCTCTCTCTCTTGCTCTTTTACTGTTCTTATTCTTGTCAATAGAAAAAAAAAAAAAGAAAAGTTCTTTCTTTTTTTTTGTATCGTTTGTCCCTGGCTCTTTTCCTCTTTGACTGTTCACAAGGACATTTTACTGCTCAAAATAAACACAATATAAATGTGCTTGAACACACACACACATACCGATTTCTTTTCGTCGTTTATATTCATTAATAAAATCAACCATAGATATCAAATTTGAAATGGCGTCTTTTAGATGTATATAATCGATATGATCACTATTAGTATTCTATAATGAAATAAAATATAGAGAAAGAAAAAAAAAAAAAAGAAATTAATTTTTACTTTAAACAATTCATTTAATATAAGTGGATATCGAACAATACGTTGAATTGGACGTAATAGAAGAGCTGAAATATCAAAAAGATTTGATTTTTGAAGACGAATTCTACAAAGACCATCTTGAAGATATTTTTGAAGTTTTTCATCATTTCCATGCTAAATAATTTTTAAAATAAAAAAAAAAAAAAATTCTTTTCCAAAAAGAAAAAAAAAAGATCTTACCTTACGTAAATAAATATGTACCCATTCATGATTTCGACAATATTCAGCATAGATATTTTTTAATTGATCTATTAAATTATTAAAAATTTGTCCTATACAACAATGTGTATCATCATTTTGTTGATTTTTTGTATATTCAAATTCAAGTTGATTAAGAAGACGATATGATATATCATTTATATCACGTATATTACCAAATAGAAGTTTTTTATTAATACTCTCTGGCTAAATATATATTTAAATCAAAAAAAAATAAATAATAATTATTTGTTAAAAAGAAAAAAAAACAAAAACAAAAATCTTACACATGTTATTGAATTTGAATTAAGAAATGTTTCGATAAGTAAATCAAGATCACGAACATAATCTCGTTCAGTTGATAATAATTCACTAATCACATGTTGTCGACGACGTTGTATAATACTATATAAAATATTCAAAAAAAAAAAAAAATACAAAATTTATTTACTACAATAAATAATTTTCTTTAATGTTTTGCAAAGGAGCGACGGTCTTTCGAAAATCAATTTTTAAAAATCTGGACAAAACATTGATCTTTCACATTGTATAGAATTCAATTTAGATTTAAAGAATTAATATTATTCGAATTTAGAGAAAAAAAAATTATATTTACTTTATATCAGTTTTATCAACTTGATCATCAATTAATAATTGATCTAAAATGTTTATTAATTATATATATATAAATAATGCAAAAATTCTTATAAATTTTCTTACTATGTAAATTTTGTAGTTCTATATCGAAAAAATCTGTTCTTGTTGATGATGATTCAGTATCACAACTATCACGTGTTGATATTGTTTCATCATGACTTGAATTTTTATCAAATGGATTATTTATTGTACGATATGATATCTATAATAGATATAATTTGCAGTTAATATATAACCTCTTATATAATATTATACACTTGCCTGTTGTGGTTCAATCTTCGTTTGTATTGGCGGCTTTGGTGCTGGTCGTGTTGGACCTCTCAATGGTGGTATTGATGAAGGAAATGTTGGAACGAATAATGGTAATGATGGTGGAGGTGGTGGTGGTGGTAGTTGTGGTCGAAGAGAAAGACGAGGTTTAACAGGTGGTGGATCATCAAAAGATGATATTGATGATGTTGTTGATGGTGTATGACATACATTCGAAATATTTTTAGTTGTTGATG